AAAAAAAAAAAAAAAAAAAAAAAAAAAAAAAAAAAAAAAAAAAAAACGGAAAACCCATTATAGAGAAAAATGATATGAAAATAAAAATAATTTTAAAAAAATAATAATTATCAAACGAGACTCAAATATGATCTAAATCGTGCTTCCATACCAACCCTTAATTGTGATATTACAAACTCACAACTACTCTATCCCTAAAGGTAATCTTAAAAGTTAGATAAATATATAAGTAAATTATAAAATTAAAATGCTAAATCATGAACTAATAATAAAAATAAATGAAATAACTAACAAAAAAAAAAAAAGAAAAAAGAATTATATTATATTATATAAGTTAAGTAAATTAAGACATAGAAGAGGGCAGAGGTAGTTGGGAAATGGCTACCAAACCAAAACATCAAACACACATTCATTAATTAATTTTAATTAATTATAATAATGCTTATAGCAACCTCCATCATCTAATACAAATAAAACAAAGCAAATTGTGGGAATATTAGGTAACAACAAACTCACTCTATACATACATACATACATACATAACTTATTCTATCCATTTTTGTGTAAATTAATAATATTTGTTCTTTTATATCATCCAACAAAATGCTTTTTTGTGGTGGTTAAGTTTTTTAAAAATTGATTAAATAATAATAAAAAAAAAACAAAAAAACAAACAAAAACATAGTTAAAAATGATATTTAACAATTTCCTAGAAAAGTGAAGTGAATGGAAAATATGTACGTACGGGGGAAAGGAAAAACAAACATTCTTACGGTTTGCTTTCATTTTCCAATACGATATTCAGCTAAACAAGTCAAGTTTCCAATCATTCTAAGAACAAATCACAAATAAAAAGATAAGGGTTGTTAGAATTCCCTCCCTCCATGGAAAGAATTGTGTGGGCATTGCCTAAACCAACCAGACCTATCCACCATTTGACAAGTCTTCTCAAAACGGATACCAACTAAACTAAACTAAACTAGACTAAACCACCTGCTCCACATTTCAGCAACCTCAGACTCGAAAAAGTAGAAGTTGGATGTTCACAACTTCTGTCTCACTCAACTCTCCTTTTCATTCTTCATGCAATGTAAACACACAACAATCATGGGAGCTTTTGGGTTCGTTGTTGATCATTACGCCACGCCATCCACCGTTACAAGTCGAAGAAAAGAATATCTACTCTCAGATTTACAACTATACATCTAAAGGCTATTGATTCTACAAACAAGTTTCTATTAGATCTTATCATCAGCTAACCAGTGGTATTCTTGATTTGCACAATGCAACTCCCCAGATGAAGAATGATGCTATAAGCTCTCTTTCAAAATTCGATGAGTCGTTATACCTAATAAAGGAGTGGCCGCTTTGAATCTGGCTTATACTTTGCAGTGATTTACAAGGCAGATAATTCAACTTCTTGATTGCAAGGACGATATGCCACAAAAGTGCTGTCATTGGTGAAGGAACCAGGATTGAAGCAAGTGATTCCTGTGTATTTGAATGCTTGTTGCTTACTTCTATCCCCCAGAACTATCTGCACAAGCCAAATAAAAGTTTATGCAATGAATGCAGTTCAGTGATAGCAGAACATTATCATCCATCTGCAGTGACTGTTCATTATCTGTCTCCAGATGAGGAAAGAACGGGTATCCAATTTTGTGGATAAGTGTAGATCGTTTAAACACTAGCTAGATTCAGATATAGTTAAGTACCACATGAGGAGTAGGATAAAGATGAAGACAGTGGTCATAATTCCAGATAATTGGTTGAATAACCAGAGGAAGAGGGCAGAGATGACTTTGATGAGTTATGGTAGCAACAAGCTGCAAGAGAATCATGAAACAACCTTAGGGCCTCCACATATAAGTATCTAAGAGCTAGAATAAATATACAACAAATAACTAGACAAAATAACAGATATATAAAAGGAAGAAAAATCACATGTTCAAAAGGATCACTTGTTTCTTCTGTAGAAGGTGGTATGAGACAGGAACGACGCATTCTGTAAAGTAGGTCCTGTCGGAAAAATACAATTTCTTGGGTGTAGAACCTAACCCTGCATCCAAATATGACAATTATCCACCACTATAGAGTAAAAGGGGCACGTCATTCACCAAAGAGAACATAATTTCCACTGAAATTGGTTAAGTTGTTTTTAATCAAGTCAAAATACAAAAGAACCTATAGGGACCAAAGTGAACATTTTGAAAGTTAAAGAACCAAAATATTATTTAAACTTTTCTTAATGATCTTTCAAATGAAAACTATTTAGAGGGTATAAGTTACAATACATTTTCAAGTTTAAGATTAAAATTGCAACACTTATTTAAGTTTGAGGTACAATTTGATGAAACTAGAGATTTAGAATGAAAATTGATATTAACAAGTTTGGAGGTAAGAATTAATTTGTTTCCTTCGAATCTTTAAACAAAAATTCTGTTTGCCAACGGGAAAAAGAGATTCATTTCTAATGTTATCTGTAGAAGTGAAACCCCTCATGGAGAATCATACTACAGCGAAAGACTAGGAAGACCGTTAGGTTTAAAAGTAAGCAATCGAAGTATTCACCTGCAAGGGTTACTTGAGAAGATGGCGTTTGGAACGTGCATCTGAAGCTCTTCGGTTAAATACTTTGGCAAAGCACACCTGGGTAAAACTGTTGATGGTCCTATAAATTCAAAGGGAAGAAAAATTAAGAAAATCTCATGTATATTTAAGCAGAAGGCGAGGAACTTATTTACAAATAACTACACAAACCTGCATCATCTGGACCAGGAATAAAAAGAAACTTGCTATGCTCTTTTAACCGTGGACGAGAGGCTATCATTTTTCCTAGCTTACCAAATTGTAATCTGCACACACTAACTCATTATGTCTCTTGAACTCATGTCAATAACATCCAATACATACAGAAAACAATTGTGATAATACTTACCTGAGACTTGAGTAAGAATTGAAGGCAAGATTACATGGACGGGAACAAAAATTCCCCATCAAAACAAATAAGGAAGGAACGATTTCCACATTCTCAAACCCATCAAGAATGGTCTCCAGTTTTCCCATGGCCTACCACATGAACGAATTCTGTTAAGGCACCAAGCTTCACAGACACACAATGCACGTAAAATATAAAGAGGTTATTTTTCACCTCTTCACTATCCAACCAAATGTCAGAGAGTATGACAAACATATCGTTAATGGCTCTCTTTTCCAGATCTGCAAGCCTGAGCTATTGATGATTAAGGGCAACAAGTTGATTGCATTGGATGCATGTGCGTACACCACTTTAATAGCAAAAATTCAGTATAATAAAATATCAACAAAAAAAGCACATAAATCCAATGCATGCATATTAAAAGATCCTTTTCATAGCAAAGTAAAAGAAAGGGGATACAGTCTCCTCTTTAGTTAGAGAACCACCTCCAAAGAAGTCCTGGCCTGCTAGCAATTTAAGAGACTTGTCCCTGTCCTCTAATGGAGGAAATCCACATGTAATAACCTTAAGAAAATACCCCCAAAAAAATCAGCACATTAGTAATATGAAGAACGGTATTTGAAATATACTATGAAACATGTGCTGAACATCTTCCAAAAAGTTTCAACAGGTATCCTTGTGCTCGCTAGCAAGTGAGAAAGTAAATCACAAGAATAAAATCCCAAGCAAATTCAACTTTTAGACGGTAGTACTCATGGATAAAGGAAGGAAAATTGCACCTTCACCTTCAGTTTTGTTCTACATTTCAACCTTCAGAGAAGAGTGTGAGCAGAATTTGCCCAAAGAAACAAAAATAGGTTTAAGAAAAGATTTCAAATCTTTGTGTAACCTTAAGTTCTGGTATACCTAACGAAATATTAATTATCTAAACAAAAGGTGGTATTAGGCACTTGCCAATTGAGAACTACATGAAATATAACTGAGAGGTAAAACTCTGATCAGGACCAAACAGAACTAAAACCCATACCGTAGCCTTGTATGATTATCCTCTCATGAGCATGTACAAACTTTGGAAAATATTTAAGTCCAGAAGGACTTTAATTCAGGCTATTTCCAGCTGTGCATTATAAGAACAAAAGGCCAGCCCCTTCCGGTTAAAGTGTCCTAATTTCTAAGTTTATGTTTAAAAGAACATATATATGATGTGCAAAGACGTTTTTCTAATGTAACCAAGCATTTTAAAATAACAGAAATTGTGAAGACCCCGTAAAGCAAGCTTAAAAGTACACATTAGCAAGAGGAAAGATTGGATGACCAGTTGAAAAAAATAGCATTTTTTTTCTTTTTTTTATATTTATGAGTGTTAAAACCAACTAGTATGAACAAGTTCGACAACCATATGCCTCTGCTACATTTGGTTGTCATGGTAAATAATAAGATATTAAATTCTAGGTAGCGGCCATCATAACTTGATCGCATTTTTCGAAGCATTTTATTATTCACATTAATCTTCATTACCTACTAGATAAACCCATAATAACTTGGTAGAGAAAATAGCATAATTAATGCAACCAAAAGTTTATAAGAAAGTAAGGTCTCTCTCTTTCTCTCTCTCTCTCTCTCTCTCTCTCCCCCCCCCCCCCCCCCC